CTCATTAGCGCTCACTTGGCGCATGTTCGCGTCGCGGCATGCTTGGGCCGGATGCTTCGGCGGAGCGAAGAGGCAGTCGTCGCGGCTGGCCCGCGATCCTTGGCGCAGAGGAGGAGTCATCGCGGCTGCCTTCGGACGCGATGCAGCCGGCCCGCGATGCTTGACCGGCATGCGAGTTTGTGCGGCGGCGGAGAGTCGACAGGGGCCAGCGAACCGCAGGGAGTCGAGATTGCAGAGAGAGGCGAGAGAGACTGAGCATTATGGCGGCGCGGGCTACTTGAGGTTTGAGAGGCCAGAGACTTTTTGCAGAAGGAAATTAAGGGCCCTCTCGAAAAGACTGCGCCGTCTTTTTGCAAAATGGTCCTCAACCACTTTAGACTCTTATCAAAGTTAGATCTAGGGACCAGATCTCTCCACCTTACTTACCCAAGTAGAGGCAGTATGCTTTGGTACTAAGCACTATATACTATATAATATAGTATTAATATATATATACTACTATATATATATAACATTGGCTGCAGATTCCTTTATCAGAGGTAAATTCTAATGAGTGCTCTTTTGTTAGCTAAGTGATCAACTTGTTGAGCATACATCCATAACCAATGTTTGACGCATCAGTTTAACAATTTAAATCACTGTAGTAATAGCTCGATGTGCAACATGGTAGCCTTTTAACATTTCAATTAATTTAGTATTTTACAGACAACAGCCAGTGTGGTCGATTTGTCCAAGCGGAAGCATTCTTTTTATCTTACTATATAAATGCGAGTGTCCGTGTGTAATATTATGATAATAAGTCTGCCTAATAATTTCCAATGCACCAAGAAACCTTTGTAATTTTTTGGTGTCAGTTGAATTATGGTCTGGAAACTGTAGAGCGCCAAACTCAATGCTTCGCGTCAATAGCGCATTATTGCATCCCTTTGTGAATGATTATGAGCCCAATAATCTAGATCCGAGTCTTGGAATAATTCAGTTTAGGGCTGATATAGCCAACCCATTTTAGCTCTCTACTAAACCATTCTTTCCAGAGCTTTGTAATGCACTTTAGCTTTAGGCCTGCTAACGCTGCTTAAAACCTTTGTAATGGATGCGCGTATATAATCGCCAATTATTCTGATCAGGTAAGAATTCTTATCTGAGTCTTAAATGTTAAGGCTCATAACTGTTAAGCATAAATAGGATCCTGTTAGAGCATAAAGATTTGTCGTATACATTAAAGGATATATTGGTCCATTACATAGACTAGTTTCCATTGATGCCATTAAAGATGTGTCTATATTAGACATCTGCATCTCGTAGTAAGCAGGATAGTAACCGAGGCTGTTAACTCCTTATAATTTCCAAGACGGTTAAATGCTACTTGAATTATCCAATTCGTATACTTGTATTGCCTTCTATATAAGGGGGGGGGCTTTTAATATCTTCACGCACTAAGCAATTTAATTGTCTGCCTCATATTGATCTACTGTTGTGGTCTTTCATAATGTTTGATAGCTATCAAGATTAAATCAAAGCACACCCAATTGTATAAGATGATCTTTATAGCGGACATTTGGGATGGACTACTATTAAGTGATTCGAGCCTCAGATGGATATTCTGTCAACTGCAGCATTCTTAACTTTTTACTCATATGATGCAGCCCATCTTGCGAGATGAGTAAAGATTACCTCTGCACATTAAGGCTTTCTTACGGATTAATTATGTATAGTCTAACAAGTTAAGATTTATAATTGAACTTTTTCTGTTTTTCTTTTAAGCAATAAACAAAAGACTCATGAGTAGCACGCTGTCAATGATTTACACACCCTACATGCCTTACGGCTTCAATGGAAAAACATTACGCTTACGTGACTTGAGTGACGGTCCCACTATCATCTTATATATAATATATTATATATATATATATAAATATATATATATACTAGTATACTGTATATATAGAGAGAGGAGAGAGAGAGAGAGAGAAATATGACGGTGATGCTTCGTACCAAGCACAAATTTGCTGCCTTGGTTAGTGATGTGCACATCCCCATCCACTCACTACCCATGTGAATTTGTTCTCATATTTGCAAGAGCTGGAGGGCGCGATTGACACCTCACTACCATAACACAACTTTTTATGCTTCGGTATTCGAAGCATACTCATGATTCTCATTATAATATATATATATATAGTATATATATATATAGTATAATATATATATATATATATATATATATATATATAGTAAGCTACGTGACTTGAGTGACATCCCACTATCATTCTTTCTATAATATATATAATATATATATATATATAATATGTATATATATAATATATAATATATATATTATATATATCATATATATATAGAGATGCAGAGAAGAGAGAGAGAGAGAGGAGTAAAGCTCCTATAAACTATAAGGTGAAAAGAATATGGCTCACAACTTTTTTATCCTTGATTTTGCTTTGACATTTGTGCTAGACATGAAAGGTATCTTTGCAGATGATGCATGATATTATATCACATTTCTAGCCCGCAAATCTCAAGTGAAATCAATGCGAGAAAGAAGTTGGTGCGACAACAAGCTCCTATCCACTTAAGTTTAGGAAATTTTATTTTATATATTACACACACGCCATACACGCGCGTTGCACATACATGTACATACATATGCTATAATATCACATGCAAACAAGCACATTGAACAAATAGACGCTATACATATCTATACACACATATGTCAGTTTCCCATAGCGAATAATTGAATCGCAATCATCAGCCCACAATTAATATATAAAGAGGTGGAAATTGGGAAAAAACTTACTTAGCTAGTCAAATCCAACTGGGCGAGTAAGCCTGACTAACCAGTCACTCTTGATAGCCATTTCAGTAAGTGACAACGCAGCAATGATGCAAATGCGATCAAATATTAGTTATTATTATTATGCCATGTTTTAGATCCAATATTGTTATATATTAAAGCCCATGTTTTTTGTTTCTTATGTTCTAAAATGGTAATTTATCAACTTTTGCCATTGCAGGAATCCTTACAAAACTATCAGTTGTTTTGCTAGTGATATGTTATTAAAATATTATATAATATTATAATATATAATTTATAGTATTCCAAATCCCAAAATATTGATGAAACAAACAAAATATTACAAATTATAGTATTCCAAATCCCAAAATATTGATGAAACAAACAAAAATATATAATTTATAGTATTTCAAATCCCAAAATATTGATGAAACAAACAAAATATTACAAATTTTGGTTTTCCAAATCCCAAAATATTGATGAAACAAACAAAATTTTAGAGATCCGAAAACATGTAAAAAATTTTATGGATTTCAAATTCTGTGGTAAAATCCATATCCATAAATTTTGGGATGCAAAACAAACACCTCCTAATCATACCCTTTTATCCTGTCACCACTGGCCTGCCTACAAAAGAAGTAATAATAATCTACTGAGATACGTACGTTTAAATATTGATGAAACAAACAAAATTTTAGAGATCCGAAAACATGTAAAAAATTTTATGGATTTCAAATTCTGTGGTAAAATCCATATCCATAAATTTTGGGATGCAAAACAAACACCTCCTAATCATACCCTTTTATCCTGTCGCCACTGGCCTGCCTACAAAAGAAGTAATAATAATCTACTGAGATACGTACGTTTAAATTTTGCTCTGTCTTCTTTCTTGTGTGGAATCCTTCATGGGACCCACACCACGTTGCCTCGTTCTTCTATATATAAGAAACTGCCAACTGCTGAGCTGAGGCTCAATGGTCAAACTGTGATCTTTAAAATCAGAGAAAAAAGGAGAGTAAAGAAGGGGGGGAAAATAGAAATCTTGTTTAAAAAAAAAAAATGGAGGGCCAAGAGCAAGGAGAAGTGGAGGTGATCCACTCATGGTCAGCTCCCAGATCACTCAGCACCAGCCTCATGTACTCTTTTGCTCAGGTCTATTCGCTCGTTGCTTGTAATTGCAAAACATTAAAATTATCCCCCCTCCCTCAGTATTACTGAACTCGTTCTATCGTGATTACTTTAGAGAGATGATATGGAGGTGCTTGATGAACCCCTGTACGGTAGTTACTTGAAAGTCACCGGCGCTGAAAGACCCTACAGAGACGAACTTCTGAGCAAAATGGTAAATTTATTATAATATCAGTGCACTGAAATAGTTGAAAGCCGAAGCATGTGTTTTTTTTTTTTGGTAATTGATACTTGTTATAGGATTCTGATGGGAATAAGGTTGTCAAAGATGTGATTTTTGGCGCTGGGATGAAGAAATATCGCTATTGCAAGGTAGCGTTAGTATTTTGGTATGACGTGACTTGATTTATGATCAAAGAGATGAAGTTAGCTAAAATAAAGACTTCATTTTTGTTACTTTTTGAGATGTAGCATATGGCGAAACAACGCCTACCAAACTTATCAAATGAGCTGATGAAGAAAGGGAAGCACTTTATATTGATACGCAACCCTCTTAATATTTTGGTATGAATGCCTCTGCTTAATTTCTCTGTCTATTCCATTCTCTGCTAAAGAAAACTTCTTGCTAAGGTTGATTCCTGCAAAACAACATTATTCTAAAGGGAAAGAAGTCACAGAAGAGTCACATTTAGTTGTTCCTGTTGCCAGCACTGATTACTTTTTCTTAAAAATGTTGTCTTATGGAATGAAGATTTAACGAAATTCCCCTGTTGCTCGCCGGCTTTACTATGAAACAATACAATTTTTTTTTGCCTTTTAGACGGTTATATAGTTTAATGTATCTTTTAAGTGGATTAAGAACTTCCTTGTTGGGACAAACCCAGGGCCTAATAAAGCATGGTCTCAGTGAATAGTAGAGTGGAAGTAACAAAAACACACAGATTTACGTGAAAACCCCCTAAACAAATTTGGGCTAAAAACCACGTGCAATGATAGGAGAATCCACTATGAAAAAAAACTTTGGAATTACAATCTTATTCTAAAGGAAAAGAAGTTACAGAAGAGTCATATTTAGTTGTTCCAGTTGCAAGCACTGACTACTTTTTCTTAAAAATGTTGTCTTATGGAATGAATATTTAACGAAAGTCCCATGTTGCTCGCCGGCTTTACTAAGAAACAATACAATTTTTTTGCCTTTTTCGATGGTTATACAGTTTAATGTATCTTTTAAGTGGATTAAGAACTTCCTTGTTGGGACAAACCCGGGGCCCAATAGAGCAGGGTCTTAGCGAATAATAGAGTGGAAGTAATAAAAAAAATACAGATTTACGTGAAAAATCCTTTAAATGAATTTGGGATAAAAACCAAGTGCGAGGATAGAAGAATCCACTATGAGAAAAAACTTTGAAGATACAATCTTATTCTAAAGGAAAAGAAGTTACAGAAGAGTCACATTTAGTTGTTCCTGTTGTAAGCACTGATTACTTTTTCTTAAAAACATTGTCTTATGGAATGAAGATTTAACGAAATTCCCCTGTTGCTCAAATTTTTTTGCCTTTTAGATGGTTGTACAGTTTAATGTATCTTTTAAGTAGATTAAGAACTTTCTTGTTGGGACAAACCCGGGGTCCAATAGAACAGGATCTCAGTGAATAGTAGAGTGAAAGTAATAAAAAGAACACACAGATTTACGTGAAAAATCCTCTAAATGAATTTGGGATAAAAATCACGTGCAAGGATAGAAGAATCCACTATGAGAAAAAATTTTAGAGTTATAATCTCTCTATAAGGAGAAACTCTCTATTTTTCTCACTCTTCTATAAGTGGAGTTGTATCTAGGATAGATTTTTTCTGAAGAGTTTTGGGGCCTATTTATAGCGGCTGGAAAAATACTATTCCTAATTTGATAATATTTTTTCTTTTACCGTGCCAACCTTTTGGTGCTCGCTTTTCACTTTCGATGCATTTATTTTTGTGGGGTTCATCATCTTTTTGTTTGTCCATAATTGCTGCTGTCAGCAATTACGGCTGACAACAACGAAGAAAGGCTATTGGAAATAAATGGGTCTACAAGATCAAGCGAAATGGAGATGATCAAGTGAAGGGATATCGTGCTAGATTGATAATAAAAGGATATGCTCAGAAAGAATGTATTGACGTTAATAAAATATTTTCTCCTGTAGTTCGACTTACAACAGTTCGAATAATCCTAGCTATGAGCGCTATATTTGACTTACATCTAGAGTAGCTAGATGTAAAAATAACATTTCTTCATGGAGATTTTGAAGAAGATATTTATATGCTCAAACCAGAAGGTTTTGAAGAAAAAGGAAAAGAGAACTTGTTTTGCAGATTGAACAAATATCTGTACGGTCTAAAGCAGGTGCCAAGGTGTTGGTACAAGAGATTTGATTCATTCATCATGAGCCTTGGATATAACAGACTTAATTCAGGCCCTTGTGTATATTTCAAGAGGTTTAGTGAAAATAATTTTGTTATCTTATTGTTGTATGTTAATGGCATGTTAGTTACATGCCCCAATAAAGATCGTATCAAAGAATTAAAGGAACAGTTGGCTAGGGAATTTGAAATGAAGGATTTAGGATCTGCAAATAAGATTCTAAGGATGTAAATTTACCGAGACAGAATTAATAGAAAGATTTGACTTTTTCAGAAGAATTATTTAAAAAAAAGTTAGCGTTTTAACATACAAGATTGTAAGTAAATTTCTACCACACTTCCTGATAATTTTAAGTTATTCTTCACTATGAGTCCTAGCAGTAAAAAAGAGAGGATGGAGATGTCTCGAGTACCGTATGTATCAGCAGTGAAAAGTTTAATGTTCGCTATAATTTGTACAAGACCAAACATTACATAAGCAGTGAGAGTGGTTAGTCGATACATGTCGAATCCTAGTAAAGAGCATTGGAATGTTATAAAAAGGGTTCTAAGAGACATTAAGGGAACCTCAAATGTTACATTATGTTATGAGGATCAGATTTTATTGTCAATAGATATGTTAATTTTGATTATGCAGGTGATCGTAATAATAGCAAATCCATCACAGGCTATGTGTTTGTACTTACTAGCGGAGCTGTAAGTTGGCTTTCAAAATTGTAGTCAGTTGTGACTACTTCAATAACAGAAGCAGAATATATAGCAGCTACACAAGTTAGTAAAGAGGGGATATGGTTGAAGATGATGCTGGAGGAACTCGAGCATGAATAAAAGAAGATTTCTCTATTTTGTAACAGTAAGAGTGCTTTGCATTTAGCAAGAAGTCTTAATTTTTTATTCAAAGACAAAACACATTCGAGTTCAGTATCACTTCATTCGTGAAAAAGTAGAAGGAACAATGAATATGTAAAAAATTCAAACTAAAGACAACCTAGTAGACTTTTTGACAAAAACAGTCAATACTTATAAATTTATTTGGTATCGATCCTCTTGTGATCTGTCAGAGACGTGGGCAACATGAAGATGACAAGATAAAAAGAATGATGTGATGATATGATTGATACTCAATCAAATCTTCAAGTGGGAGATTGTCAGCCGCAATTACTGACAGCAGCAATTGTGGACAAACAAAAAGGTGGCAGGCTCTACAAAAATAAATGCATCGAAAGTGGAAAGCGGACACCAAAAGGTTGGCATAGTAAAAGAAAAAATATTATAAAATTAAAAATAGTGTTTTCCCAGCCGCTATAAATAGGCTTAAAATTTTTTAGGAAAAATCCATCCCAGAAACAACTGCACATGTAGAATAGTGAGAGAGAAAAATAGAGAGTTTCTCCTTATAAAGGAAGATTGTAACTCTAAAGTTTTTTCTCATAGTGGATTCTTCTATTATTGCCTGTGGTTTTTACTCTAAATTCATTTAAGAGGGTTTCCATGTAAATCTATGTGTTCTTTTTTTTACTTTCAATCTACTATTCACTGAGACCCTGCTCTATTGGGCCTCGGATTTGTCCCAACATTTCTTACAGCATGCAGATTAATTGTAATTGCTTGTTCTAATTATCTTTTCTCAATTTCTGCTTTGTTATTTTCTATTTGTCAGAAAAGTCCTGATTTTGCACGTACTTTGAGTTATTAGTTTTCGTGATCATTGAAATGTTGTTCCAGACATCATTCAACAAAGTTGTATCACCATCCTTTCTCGAGCTTGGCTTGGGCGACCTTGTATCCGTATATAGTGAACTGTGTGAACTTGGGAATCTACCACCGATCATAGATTCAGAGGATCTATTACGTGACCCTGAGGTTAGTCCCCTCTCATTGGAATTTGTCTTACTTTGATCACGATTTCTTCGTGAGCTCGAATATTCTTTATTAGAGTTTTATATGGTTAGCTGGTTACCATCTAAAACTTTCTTATTTCTAATGTTCTATCTAAATGATCTGTACTATCACTGCTTTCTATCACTGCTTTCAGCTTCTACCTTATAACTGCTGGTGTTACTATACTTTTTTAGTAAAATAAGTTTGGTCAATAAGGAAAATTCTAGAGCTTAATTGAAAAAACGAGTTGTAACGCAGCGCAGAAGTGATAACCTTAGAATCCACCAAGGGGTGTTCTCTGAATCCACAAAGAACGATCTCCGAATCCACGAAGAAGTTTGAATCCACGAAAAAAATGTTAAAAGAGAAATTTTTATTGATGAAAAGTTATGCTTCTAGAGCTTATAATACTCTGCTTAAATAGAAAATAAACAAGACTCCTATTATGACTCAAAATTTATCAAAATTAGAAATAATAAAATTTTTCCTAAAAGACTCCCTAGGATTGAGGAAGTAAATCGGTTGAATCTGGAATCAAACCGGATTTGCTTCCTAATCAAAACAGCTCCTAAAACATTATCTAAAATAGTAAAAAACTGACAAAAACACTGATATCTCTCAAACCGGAAGGAATTTAGTGAAATGGACGGCGACAAACCGAACATTGGTCGGTTTGGTTAACTCAATCTAAAAAAAAAACACGATTTTTATGTATAATTCGTCCAATTCCGACTTACAGTTTGAAAGATATGACCCATTCTTCATGACAAGTTATTTTCCTCGACCGGGTTCACGTTTGGGCTTGTGTTTGTCTTGCTTTTCTATAAATATATTCGCCGTGTGTTCTACATCAGTCCCCCTGCTTGAAAAGAGCTCGACCCCGAGCTTATACTTGCATGAAGAGTTGTTCCTTCTGGCTGGTAATACTCAAATAAATCTGCAACATTAAAACTAGGAGATATAGCCAAATTTGTAGGAAGGTCAACGACATAAGCATTATCGCTAATCTTCTTCAGCATTTTGCATGGGCCGTACTTTTTATTCTTCAACTTGTTGTAGGTGCCCATTGAAAAACGCTCTTTTCGCAGAAACACCATCGCCATGTATCCCTCCTCAAACACCTTCTTCCTCCTGTGTCGATCAACATCGGCCTTATATTTAGCATTAGACTTATTTATCTTCTCTTTCACTTCCTGTTGGATAGCACGTATCTTCTCGGTCATATGATCTGTAGGAATACTCTGTCCTAGAAGCTTAGGCAGTGAAACTAGATCAAGATAATGGTTCGGAAGTGTTATAGCAGTCCTACTCTTGGACATACGGCGTATTAGTGAATTAATGGGTATATCCTTACACGTCTTGCCCCGCTCAAAGGAATGGTCCAGATCTCCTATCGTCTGACTCACTCGACTCAACTAGTCGACATTCTCCCATGACGACACGAAAGACGGTGTTAGTCGATCTTCTCATCCTGGACGACTCGCTAAGAGTCTACTCGACTAGTCCCAAACACTTCTTGAAACCGTTTTGAAATGGCTTTACTTCTCGACAAAGCTACCCTCACTAGCTACATGTTTGCATCGCATTTAATGTATATCAAGTGCATTATTTCTCTTGTCCCGATAGTCTTCATGACTCATCGGACCATGTAGGTCACTGTCCCGCCACTGATCACTTCCCATTTAATGTCGAAGTGATCTACCCTCCAGTCGCCAGCCGATATCTGTAAAGCAAAAGCTAACTCAGCTGCCAGCCCGTACTTCACCACCACCTCACTGTGCTCGGCCGAAGTGACCAATTTACCCCTCATGCTTCGGATATAAATACTGGTACTATTCGAACTAAGAGGACTTTTGGAAAAAAAAAGGAGAAAGAGAAAACCTAGAGTATTTATCTGCATATCATCCTAAGTTTTCCCACTCAAGTTCATATCCACTAACTTGATCGTTGGAGGTACAACGGGAGAATTGATCTTCGTCTTCTTATGAGCTTCTACACGTGCAAATTGATCGACACTCAAACTCAAGAACCAGACATAAAGTCAGGAAAGAAAGTGGTCCTTCATCAATACTGAACCGAACCTATCCTCTTCTGGATACGATTGATTGTCTGATCTTAACCATCAACAGGAAGCCTTCCATATACAATCACAAAGAGAGCCCTGCCTGTAGTTCGACTCTCCATACAGTTATAAACAAATCCAGCATGTTCCAGAGCAAGATCCCATTATTTCGGACGATCGCTAGAGATGGATCTAAGAAGGTTATCGAGAGTGCGATTTATCACTTTAGTTTGTCCGTCCGTTTGAGGATGGTAAGCAGTACTGAATTTGAGTAAAATATTGAATCGCTACCACAAGGTCCTCCAAAAGCGGGATAAGAACTTGGAATCACGATCAGATGTGATGGATTTTGGTACTCCATGAAGACGAACTATCTCCCGAAAGAAAAGATTAGCAATGTTGCTAGCATCTATTGTCTTCTTATATGGAATAAAGTGCGACATATTTGAAAATCTGTCAACAATAATAAAAACAGAATCAATGTCTCGTTGGGTTCTAGGGAGTCCCAACACAAAAATCCATCGAGATATCATGCTATGACGCATGAGGAATAGGTAAGGGTGTATACAATCCCGTATTTTAGGACTGTCCCTTAGCAACTTGACAAACTGGACAACGCCGCACATGTTTTTCTATCCCCTATTTCAGCTGAGGTTAGTAATATCTCTCTTCAATGGAAGCAATCATCTTATCACGCTCCGAATATCCTCTAACCCGCCAGCATGAAAGTTTCGTATTATCTGCTCTCTTACTGAACTCTGCGTATGTACAAGCGATCTCTATGAAATAAATAACTATCTTGAATATGAAAACCTCTGACTAACTGATTTTATTGGCAATCGTTTCAAATCTCCTTGAAGTCCTCGTCTTCTGCATAAACTCCTTTAGATATCAAATCCAGTCACTTCTACTTGCAAAGTCACTAACAAATCAGCTCTCCGACTGAGTGTATCTGCAACCTTATTTGTTGCCCAGACTTGTGCTTCAAAACAAAGGTGAAACATTATAGAAACGCAATTCAACGAGCATGCATATGATTGATGGTAATTTGACTATTGATGGACTTCAAAGCATGATGAGCAGTATGAAGCAGAAACTCTCGTAAGATCAAATAGTGCTCTCAATGCTTCAAAGACTGGACTATGGTATACAACTCTAGCTCATATGTGGTCTATTTTTATCGAGTTTCGCTGAGTTTCTCGTTATAGGAAACAACTGGACTCCCTTTTTGGGATAGAACACCACAAATTCCTATGATGGACGCATCACAATGAACTTCAAACACTTTTTAAAAACCTGGAAGAGCATGCACTGGAGTTGTGGATAACTTCTCATTGATTAATGCAAAGCAACAGTCCACATCTTCCCCTAATTAAACTTGTCGTTCTTCATGCACTCAGTGATAGGCGCTATAATGTTGCTGAGATTTCTGACAAATCTCTTGTAAAAAATTGTGAGGCCATGAAAACTACGAACTTCGGTAACAGTCTTCGACGTAGGCTAATCTCGAATAGCACGCACCTTCTCTTCATCAACATGGATGTCCTCTGTACTGACAACAAAGCCCAAGAATAATAGGCTACTGGTCATGAAGTTGCACTTCTTCAGATTAATGTACAACTTGTTCTCCTTAAAAGACGTTAGTACCTCCCTCAAGTGGTCCAGATTCATGGTCTCAGTCTGACTATAAATCAAGATATTATCGAAATAAACTACAACGAACTTGTCGATAAAAGGTTTTAATATCCGATTCATCAACCGCATTAAAGTGCTAGTAGCATTGAAAAGGCCAAAAGGCATGACCAACTATTCATACAAGTCTTATTTTGTCTTGAAGGCAATTTTCCACTCATCTTTTTCTCTAATCCGAATCTAATGATAACCACTCTTGAGATCAATTTTGGAAAACACTTTTGATCCAGACAACATATCTAACATGTCTTCCAGATGAGGGATAGAAAATCAATACTTCACGGTAATCTTATTGATAGCCCTACTATCCACACACATGCGTCACTCCGTTCTTCGTTGAAACTAGTAATGTTGGCACGAGACACGGACTCATGCTAGCTCGTATAAGGTCTTTTTGGATGAGATCGTACACCTGTTTCTGTAAGATCTCTCCTTCCTTCGGACTCATCCGATAGTGTGGCAGATTCGATAGCCGTGATCCAGGGATGAAATCGATCTGATGTTGAATGTCTCGAAACAATCGTAATTCGAAAGAAAGTTCGTTAGACATAACTGCATCAAATTGTTGCAAGATGGTCTGTACTTCAGGTAGAATTTTGGTGAAGGCGGAATCCGCGTTCCCTGATACAACAAGAGCATAAACTTCGTTAGACTGCTTCAAATATTTTATAAAATCTTCATTGTCAATGATAAAAAAAGTCTTCTTTTTAGCAACATTTGTTTTGATGGGCCCCTTCTCTGTAAGAGGCGTGAGCATAACTCGACGATCATCCTTCTTAAAGATATAAACATTATCCTTGCCCCTGTTCGTGGTATCAACATCAAACTGCCATGACCTGCCTAACAACATATGACAAACATTCATCTCAACTACATCACACAATGCCTCATCAACATAATTTTAGACAATGGAAAAAGTTACCCGACATAACTCATCAACATGCACGTCATTACCCTTACGAATCCAATCGATCTTGTAAGGAGCGGGATGTTTCCCTGTCTTCAAACGTAATTTCTCCACCATGCATCGAGAGACAACATTCTCGCTACTACCACTATCAATGATAACATCACAAGTCTTCTGTTCCACAATGCATCTAATGTGGAAGATATTATGCCTCTGTGGTGGTTCTTCTGTCTTTAAAGCCAATAATATGCATCGCACAACACACAAGAGTTCATCTCCATCATCAGGATCCACCCCATCACCTCCATAGTCTTCAACATCATCTTGGTCTATATCCTCCTCTTCATGATCCATCATATTCACAACACTTCTTTTATGGCACTGATTGGATCGATGACCAGGTTAACCAGATCTGTAGTACTTGATTGGATCGGGTTTAGCATATGGGTTCTGTGGTGTAGCCTTCTTTGCTGTTGTTGTCGTTGATCCTGTACCTTTCTCAGTTGTAGCATATTGATCAGAAGCATCTTGTTCAGAAGCAATTTAAGATTGTTTGTTCCTACAACGATTAAAGCTTGTGCGTGACCCGTCGGAAGCTGTCCACGATCCTCTATTATTCCGTCCAAGTTGTCGCTAGGCTAACTGTGGCTGCCAAGGTATATGTATGCTGCAAAGATACACGATCCTGAATTGCTATCCTTAATCCCCCGGTATATTGAGACTTCTGTTGGGCCTCGTTCTTATTTAAATTATTGTTGGATGACAGCTGATAAAACTCTTGCGTGTACATATCAACTGTTCTTCCACCTTGTTTGCAATTCTGGTATTGTTCGAATAAGACTTGTTCATAATCACCCGGCAAGAAACGGGCTTTCAGTAGTTTCTTCATCTTTTCCTACCTATTGACTTTCGGCTTCCCTTGACGGGGTCGATTCATGCAAACTGATTCCCACCATACCGATGCTCCCCCTTTGTCGATGCTCCCCCTTTAAGTTGGTAGGCCACCAATTTAGCTTTATGCTTATCTGGGATCTCCATATACTTGAAGAACCTCTCCATTTCTGCGACCTAATTAAGAAATTCTTCGATATGAAGTTGCCCCTTAAAAGATGATAGATTCATCTTCATCTTGAACCCTCAAACATCATAACTATCCTTTTGTCGACGGTCTCTGCGATCATCACCACGGCGTGGGGCTTTATAGTTATCGTCGTTGTTGTTGAATTCATCATATGGAGTCGGATCATATCGCTGGCGACCATCAACGCGATTTTGAACTCCTACTATGTTCAGACGCTCCACTGCCGACTCAAGTCACTCTATGACAGTCTTCATCTGATTAAAATCGGTCTTTAGCTCATCGAACTTAGTTCGAGAGAAAGGGGCTTCATCGTTTGCCATTGGATCGGAGGAACCTGGCTCTGATAGCAATTAACGTAGCATGGATTTGATAACCTCGAAATCCACCAATGAGTGTTCTTTGTATCCACAAAGAACAATCTCCGAATCCACAAAGAACTTCGAATTCACGAAGAAAATATTAAAAAAGAAATTTTTATTGATGAAAAGTTACGCCTTTAGGGCTTACAATACTCTGTTTAAATAGAAAATAAATAAGACTTCTACTATGACTCAAACTTTACCAAAAATAAAAATAACAAAATTCTTCCTAAAAGACTCCCTAGGATTAGTGAAGTAAATCGATCAAATTTGGAATCAAACCAGATTTGCTTCCTAATCAAAACAGGCTCTTAAAACATTACCTAAAATAGTAAAAAACTGACAAAAACGCTGATATCTTTCAATCTGGAGGGAATTTGGCGAAACGGACGGCAGCAAACCGAACATATATAATTGACAAAACTACGTGATTTTCATATATAATTCGTTCAATTCTGACTTACGGTTTGAAAGATATGACTCATTCTTCGTGGCAAGTTATTTTTCCTCAACCGGGTGCGTGTTCAGACTTGTGTCTGTCCCGCTTCTCCATAAGTATGTCCGCCGTGTGTTCTACATCAAGTTGTAATTGAGTCCGACACATCTTTTGATATATTGACATTTTTTGTTCGCTCCTTTTGGTGTTTCAGGAGCCATTACACGAGTGTCACAGTGCTAAATTGTTGAGCCAATCCCTAAATCTCCTCCTAGAACAATTTGTACTATGCTAATTGAGATCTGAATTTGGACGGTTTCGAAATAAGTAGATGAATGACTAAGTGATGTGTCCCTCAAGCTCCTCCTCAAGATACCTGGAAAGAAGCTGACAGGATGAGATATACATGGATGCAATTCTTTTTTAAAGGAAATATGTATTATAATTAAACCATTGAATTGTATGATATGACAGTATTTGGCATTCATATGTTTCACAAAACTGTTGAAATTTAATTTATAATATGGTGGATATTTATATGAACACAAGTGGTCAACATTTAATTGAAGTGGGAATGGTGTTAAAAGAGGGGATATGGGGATTTTAGTTTAAAATATTGGAGAAGATTTTGGATATTGTCACCTTATGTTAATTCCTATATATGCATCTTTGTTGATTATTATGAGATACCGAATCCATAAGTATTCTTATCAAAATGAATAAGTGCAGCCATATTCTACAGATAATGTATAAGCAGCTTAATAACATACTTGAATCCAACTAGAACTCAACAGTACTCTAATAAGTCTTGCATTCAAGTTCGAAGGTCTGTATGAATTTGCTGAGTTTGTTTTACCATTAAATGCTTGTGGTTATAGAAATCCTTGTAAACTCTGAGACCATTCTAATTGTTTACTGCCTCCTCGTGCAGGCTACCCTACAAGGTCTTTGTGAGGATTTGGGTATTCCTTTCCAGATGGCAATGCTCAAGTATGAAAATAAGTTTTGTTCTTGGAGTAAATTTATTTAGATTTAGATGTCCTACTGTGTAGATATATATGCAGAAATACAATTTGATTTAAGAAATTTCTAGAAAACAACTACACTTTTATAACCTTTCTTGTGACACCTATTGCTAAAAGCAGAAGGATGAATATATTCTTGAAATGAATTTCCAAATAGTCCATCTGATGCTTTAATTTTAGGTGGCTATGTTTGCAAGCAGAATTATGTTTTTGTTAAGTGAATATCCCTTGTCAGTACATTTTATCTTCTTCTAGTGTGCAACAATAAGTATATAATTTATATGAATTACTTCTCACAGGTGGGAATCTGGCCCTAAACCAGTTGATGGAATTTGGGCTCCCTGGTGGTACAAAAATGTGCATAAGTCGACGGGGTTCAAAGTACCACAATCATATTGTTCAGTAAGATTTTTTTGGCACTATTTTCATTATATTAACTGTTTAAGTGCTGAACACATTAATTAATGTTTAGCTTATAGTTGAGTGAATTTTTGTCAGCCATTTCCATTAGCTTTATATGACTTGCTAGAGCAAAGTCTTCCTTTCTACAACATGCTTAGACATCACAGAAAGAGAACAACTTCTTCTTTGGGACCTTCAGTACCTCCTCCGGCCCTTCCTGTCCCTGCAAATGAGAAGTTGCTTGTTTGGGTCGGTGATGAGCTCTTACCTCGTGAAAGTGCAAAGGTATTTGCATAGACTGCTCCTCTTTTTTTATTGACCTTTTATGTATTTCTAAGTCATTTGAGGTCTCTAACAAATGCAACCCTTAAAAGGTTTCAGTGTTAGATTCGGTTGTACAAGGTGGTGATGCAGCCTGGGAGGGACTCCGAATCTATAAGGGGAAGATTTTCAAGCTTAATGAACATTTAGATAGGTAATCACCACTGTTTACTTTTATTATCTACGTGTAGATTGTTTTGTGATTTGTCATCTGTTGACCATTGCATTGATTTTTATTTAATAAAACTCCCTACTTTTATTCTAGGTTGTTTGACTCGGCTAAAGCTTTAGCATTCAACAATGTCCCAACTCGTGAAGAGGTGACAATCTTAATTGTATTATCTTTCATGTTCGTCCATGTTATATTTTTTATTGAAGGAACCTGCTTGGAAACACTTATTTGCAACTGGGATGATATAGATTCCTATTATTTTAGTTTATAAGCTTCTGTGATTACTATTGTTTAGTCAAATTTCAGATTCAAGAGGCCATCTTCAAAACCCTCATTGCAAATGGGATGTTTGACAATGCTCATATCAGACTAACTCTTACACGTGGGAAAAAGGTTATCTTGTTGTGAATATTTTAACTGAAAATTTGGGTGTTGTTAGCTACATATATTCATTTAGATTATAGGACTGTGACCAATCAAATTCTTTTCTCTGTTCATCATTTGTTATTTCACTATTTCTGATTCCCCTTCATTACATTCTTTTCCCAGGTTACCTCAGGAATGAGCCCAGCATTCAACCTTTACGGATGCACCTTAATCGGTAGATGAGCTATCAAGCGCTTACTTAGGCTATTCGAGTTGTGCTGACCTTAGTATATATGTTTGTAACTACATGCTTTACTGCACTAAATTTTGATTTGTTGAAAAAAATGGCAGTTCTTGCTGAATGGAAACCACCAGTCTATGACAATTCACAGGGGATCACTCTAGTCACAGCAACCACGCGACGTAATTCACCCAATGTAAGATATGATGGCAATATGTATATTTCTATTTTCCTTGCGCTAGCTATTAAATGTAGCAACATAATTATGCTTCTCTTGTAAGTTCATAATCAGTTCTTTGGAAAAAAGCATTGCCGTAGTAAGAGAAGTATGAAAAAAAAAATTATATAAAAGTAACCTGATCTCTTACTAGCTTCCCTGTCATAAATAACAAGTTTGTGGAAGAGTTCTGCTTTTCATTGTAATTGTTACTCTGAAGTGCTTGATCTTCCACTGTGATATTACTTGGTTTAATTTGGAGAAACTCTGGATTGGAGCATATGAGTTTCTAGTTATTACTAGGAAAAAGAGCAAGAGATGCTTTTTCCATGATTGAACCTTTTGGTTTTTAAATTTAGATCCAACTGCACAAGCTTGTCAGGAATTTCATGTGTGAGTTTAGTCCCACTTTGAGAAAGTTGGGAAAGGGTGAAGGACTCGAATAGCAAGTTGTCTTCATTGCCTAATGGCCTAGTCCCACATTGAGAAAGAAGAAAGAGCGATGGATTCAAATAGAAAGTTGTCTTCAAATGCCTGAACAGCTTACCCTTTCGTGTTAAGCTGGTTTGCTACCTCTATTTAAGGCTTATTAACTCCCAGTTTGTGCCTGATTTCTCCCCGACACCGGTTGTTCATTCGCATAAATTATTAGTTTATTGTGAAATGATTATGCTTATTTTCTGTTCTCCAATGATTAGAATTGATTCTTTCTCAAGCACTGTTTTCTCAGTTTCTCATCTCTTGTTTTTCGTTTTTCAGAGTATAGATTCAAAGATTCATCATAACAATCTTATCAACAACATATTGGCGAAGGTTCTGTTCTTAATCCTAGAAACTGCAGTTAATTCCTTTTTTCTTGAAATTATTTTAGATCTAGATAATTGCTTTTATCTGAATCCATATGATATGCAGATAGAAGGGAACTTTGCCAAGGCAGATGATGCCATCATGCTAGACAAAGATGGTTTTGTTTCAGAAACAAATGCTACAAACATTGTGAGAGACTATTTTCTGATAATTTTTACACTGTTTCATTCTAATTCTTATCAGAACTCTATCACTATCTATATAATAATCTATATAATAAATTAAATCATTTTGTATGCAGTTCTTGGTCAAGAAAGGGCAAATATCTACACCTCATGCTGATTACTGTCTTCCAGGAATAACTCGGGCAACTGTAAATTCGAGAAACTTAAGTATTATGTTTTGTTTTCTTTTTCTATAAGAAAATAAGTTAATAGGAGTAGAATACTCGAACCAACAGAAAATACTGTCCCCTCATTCGTAAACTTTCAAGTAATATTTCAATCTTTTCGTATCTGAATTTTCATGAGAACAATGGTAAGAACAGGACAAAAAATGACAAAAGCAAAAAATGACTGCAAACCTTTGGGATAAATGCTTTATTGATGTTTGTTTGTTGTTGTGTTTATGATTGAAGAAATAGCAGGACTTGCAGAATATGTGTTTTCAGGCCATGTTTAATTGTTTAATGAGAGCCATTTTTATGCATCTGATAAATTTCGTCTTAATTTATATAGGTCATGGATCTTGTGATACATGAGAACTTGGTTCTAAATGAGCGGCGTATCAGTCTTTCTGAATTTCATTCTGCAGATGAGGTTTGCTATACTTGAAAATTTATCTTTCGATTGTTAAATGATGTGATATTTCTGTGTCAACTAGTTTGAAGCTTTTGTATACAATAAATTACCAGCTTTTCGCCTGTGCGACAAATCTTTGTAGTTGAACTCGAGCAATTTATTATATGCAGGTGTGGACAACGGGAACTATGGGAGAACTTTCTCCAGTGAGTTTTCATTTCATTTCATTTCAATTTTTTTAGAAATACTGAATATAACCTCACTTGATCACTAAGAATATGCTGCGCTAAATTAGTTGATTTCTTTATTTCTCTTATTATTGAGTTATTTATTTCCTATTGAAGGGGTTATATTCTAGTTCCAGACCCTTAGGAAGGTAAGTGCTTAACTAAAAGGAATTGATTTTTATCAGGTTACCATGATTGATGGTCGAGTTATTGGAAATGGAGAAGTTGGTCCAATCACTAGAAGAATCCAAAATGCTTATAAAGTCCTCACTGATAGTTCAGGGATACCGATACCCAAGCCTGTAGAGGTCTAACATCATCCGTTTCATAAGGTTCATTCTTATCTGAAAAATTTTGTATCAATTCCATGATTAGATATTAGTGATATTTGCTTCTAATTCTTGATCTTTGCAGGGCTGGCAGAAGAGAGATGAACACCAATGCGAGATATCGATTGTGTACGATTCATTCCCCTATTTCTAAAAACTTCATTTAAGAGCTCCAGATTCAGGAAGAGTTTCTTCTGAGATGTTATGAGCAGGGTTTGGTAAATCTTGGTCCTATATCAATTTTGATGCACAATTTCAATGCAAGTGCTGTTTGGCTAGCTTTAGCTAATGAATAAAAGAAACATGTTACATTTCAAAATGAGCTTTGCATGCAAGGAATGGAAAATATCAGTCTCATTTCTATTTGCATTCTTTTCCTTGTGAAGTTATTATGGAAATATTATTGTCGTTTGTTGCTGCACTAAGTTTTAAAACATCACTAGTATCTTTACAACCTCATCCTTAGGCTTGTTGCCTTTCAAAATTTTACTATTCATACTTTTGTTATCCGTGCGGGCGGGACTTATTACAGTATTGCTGTTTTACTAAAAGCTTATCACGATGTACATATATTGTTGTATATTAATGATTTTGACAGATGTGTATTCAAATAAACATCCAAGCCCAGATTAATAGCACAAGTGTTGCAATGTCTAATAGTTAGAAATTGGGGATAGAGATGTCAAATTTAACGGTTAGAAGAAGTAACTGCTTTACCCATGTTATGCTCTCAAACTCATTTCTTAATAGGTTTAACTCCAATACATGCTTAAAAAAACCCAAATTCACTTGAGTTTGCTCTAATGGTTAGAAAAGAACCCTAACCAAAATTGAGTTTCACACAAGTCTGAAAATTACAAAGAGGGATAGTTTGGTGATTGAAGATGTTGGGTTAGGAGTTAGCCTACCCTCTCTCTATGTATACTTCCTTTGCCTCCAACAGCCAAAGAAAATAGCTACAAATATGAATGAATACAAACACACGGAGAATGACGATGCCAAGAATTAATGATGATCATCACCGTCACCGTGCTTCTTATCGTAGCATCAACCGTCGCTGAAAACCACGTATCATGCCGGCCGGATGGAAGGGAGATACGACTCGAATGATGAAGCTGCCGTTAAGAGTGCTGAAGAAGCCTACAAGGACATGATGGAGTGGTTTGTGAAACATTTGAAGTAGAGCTACTCTCAATAATGTGTTATTATATGCAACGAATTTTTATGTTGGGAACTCTATTAGTGTGTCTGAATAAAAAGTAATATTGCGTGAATTACAGAAAAATAAAAGCTCTTTCATCTTTCCTTCCCTGGATTCAGTCATTTGTATGGATCATTAAGAAATAAAAAAAAAACATAAAGGGAATCGAAATCAAAACTGCATGTGTGCAACAGAAAGAGAGTTTTACACTGCATTACTGAGATTGTGTGTTTATAAACCAAAGCCATACTAGATCTCAACTCTTACTACAAAAAGAGGAATTAATTCTTTAGCAATTTTAATTGGTCATTGATTGATGTTATAAACAAAAAGATTGTATTGGAGAACTCAAGCTTTAATAGCCATGCAAATGACTTGGTTTTCTTTTCAAAGTTCGTATCCTCTTGTCCAGAATTTGAATTTGAACCTTCCATAATCCAATTCGATTATTTTAACATCAGGTCATGTCGAATAAAGTGTACACTCATTTGGCTATATACAAAAATATTATTGTTACCGATCTTCCAACCAAATGTTAGAGTTACACTAGAAGCTTGGTTCTGTTTCAAGAATGCTTGTGGTGTTGATCCCCAAAAGGACAAAACCAAAAATCCAGACTGATGAATTTAAAAAGCATCATTCGTCCTCCACACTATTGTTTCTATGTTTTCCCTAGTCTATAGCATGCCATTATTGGCATGGTTTCATTATGTGAATTTTTGGCCTCTTGTGGCCTCGATGATAATCCTTACGACTGGCAAATGCTTTAAAATCTTTTCAATTTTTTGTTTCAAACAAAACTATAAGTAAGAGTAAGACTCTTTCAAATTATTAATGCCCCAGAGCTCTCGAAGTTGTGGTGAACGGTTCTGTATTGTACTTTTATATTCTAAAATGCACTCGCAAGTTGAACGCTCCTTCATAAGCCAAAACTTGGCCACACATGCTAAGGGTGTATACCTACATACTCTGAACATATAACTACGTACATATCTATTGTATATCCCCGTTTGGCAAAGAGTTAAGGAAGAAGAGTTAAAGAGAATGATTAATGTACTTAGCCCATTCGATAATCTGAAGGACTAAATTATTAACCCGTTAAATAAGTTTTATTTTAGTTTTTGTGATCAGTTTTAGTGTTTAGGAATAACAATGATTTTGACTATTTTCTTTATAATTAGAAGGGTTAACTCTTAATCCTTCTAAATAGGAGTATTAGTAAATCCCTCATTTTGAGGGGTTACCTTAACCTTCTATATTTTTTATGTTTGATAAATTATAAAGGATTAATTCACTTTAACATTTTTATAGATTTTTTGTGTTTAGCGGTTTAAAAAAGGGTTAAGTCTTCTTAACCTCTCACTTAACCCTTTATCAAACGGTACCTTTGTGTTCTCTATCTTGGGATTAAAGCAAGACAAACTTTTGTATATTGTGTTTTGGAACATATGAAACTTAATGGAGTTCATGGTAAAAGAGGAGTAACACTTTCCGCTTGTAGGCAAAAACCATTTCAATATTAATGATTTGGTATATTTTTTATATATATTCAAAACCAGTCACGAACGTGCTCTAACTGCCAGTCTACACATTAAAAATGCGGTCAAGCGTAACAAGATCCACAAGTTATTAAACTTACTTTGTAAAGAATTAAATGGAAAGCTAAAAAAATAAGGGAACAGAGACGGCGATAGTTTCGGTCTTTATTCATGAATGAATTGTTCCGGAAAAGCTGACAAAAATAAATTCTGGGTACTGAACGTAGGCCCACAATAGTGGATTGGGATCCTCTGCTCGTCAGTCAATAGTCACGCACAACGAAGTTGCACTCTGACGTCATCCATGACGCAATCTTTTCTAGAGATCTCAAAACCCCATGACCTGGGCCATTCTACTCCATTCCCAAAACACTGGAAAAAGAAAGAGAAAAACACCAAAAAAAAAAAAAGGAAAGGGGGGAAATAGAAAATCATGGCAGGCTCTCAGTGCTGCGAGAACCCACCGGCCCTGAGCTCCGCTTGCGGAGGAGGCTCCGTTGTTGAGAGCTTTGGGGGCCTCAAGAGCTACATCAATGGATCTCTTGATTCCAAGCTCGCTATCCTTCTCGTCTCTGATGTTTTTGGTAATGAACTAAATCCTACCCATTTCATTTTTGGTGCTTTTTTTGTGTGTAAATTGGGCTTTTTCTTGAGGAATCATGATATGGGTTTATGTTGGTTTGGTCTTTTCTCTAAACCCTTTGAGGAATCATGATATGGGTTTATGTTGGTTTGGTCTTTTCTCTAAACCCTTTAGAAGAATGCAATCGATATTGTTAATCAATATATATATATATATATGAGAAATATGAGTATGCTTGATACCAAATACAAAAAGTTTTGCTTGGTAGTGAGGGGTCACATCTCCCTCCTCCCTCCGCTCATTCAAATGGGGGACCACATTCACATGAGTAATAAGTGGATGGGATATGACACATCACTACCAAGCACAAATTTTGTGCTTGGTACCAAGCATACCCATATTTTTTTCTCTCTCTCTCTCTATATATATATATATAATTTTAACGGTTTTGAATGAATAGAACTTTTCACATGGCTCGATGGAGGGTCAAACGACGACGGATTCACCCCCAAACTTGGTGTGTTGGGGTTTTAGAATATGTAGATCAAGTTCAACGGAGCGGATCATCCATAATGTCGCTCAATCATGTGATTTTAGAGACGTCAAGGAGGAAATCCCCTCCTATGACAAGGATACCCATTAATCTCTCTCTATATATATATATATAAACAAGTTTCTTATAACGAATATTTTCAAAAATTGTTGTCATAATTTTTTATTGTGTTTGAAACTGATTAATGTTTGATCATCTTTGTACAGGATTTGAAGCTCCGAACTTTAGGTATGGAAGATACTGAAAATTTCACTCTTTCAGAATCCATAATATGACATTTTTGCTCAGACAAGCCTGTATTTCTTTTTTAATTTAAAACTTCTACTGTATCCAATTCACCCCATTCTTGTAACCCTTCACTGATTCATAAAATACAGGCTGAGGCCTATTTGCTCTGGAAAAATACCTTTGTGTCTCTGTTACGGCTTGTTTTGAACTCCAATGACAGGAAAAATTCGTGCTATGTCAGGGCATTTTCGAACTAATGTACATACATGTGGATGTGCTTTTTATGTTACTTTTGCTTCTTACCATGCTGTGCATATTTATGTAAAAAACTAACAAATAATCACATAATTTCCACTCAATAACAACAACAACAACAACAACAACAACAGCCATTTATATTTTATAAAACTAAACATACATAAAAATAAATGTGTCTATACATGTAGGTACACATGTGTGTATATATATTTATGCATATGCCCAAGTGTACACACACGACTAAAAATAGTTCCATAATTGTATTAGTGTTCTCTCTCTCTCTTTTTTTGTTTTTTGTTTTTGTTGGGAAGTGCATTTGTTTGATAATGTTTATATAAAGTTAGTTTTTATGTTGAATTTCCAATATAACTTTTTTTATCTGTTGTAAGCAAAGATGCTATTTCTTATACAAGTATGTGGAAGTGATCTGTACGACAGAAAGGTTATTTTCCTTAAGAAATATTAGTTTTGTACTTAACATATCTTACCTTGCATTTTCCCCCCAAACTTTTAATAGCTAGCAAAATTGTTATTAAGTGACCACCTCTTTTCCCCTTTTCTTTTTCTACACCTAACTGATAAGGTACCGGAGCTCTTGAATTGAACAGGAAGAACATTGAAAAAGTTCTACTTGCTAGCTAGCTACCAACATGGGCTTTTATATTCCTATCTGCAATAATATTTTCTTGTAACAGGAAGCTTGCAGACAAAGTTGCAGCTGCTGGATATTTTGTTGTGGTTCCTGATTTCTTCTATGGCGATCCATTTGATCCTGCTAAGATGCCTATAAAAACCTGGGTTCAATCTCATGGCACGGTTTGTTCTCTTCACGAATGTAACTATAGATTAAGTTGTATCATTATGGTTTTTACTTGACAATTTGAATAGTTGTTCTGGCTGTAATTTAATAATGCATGCACTTACACTTCTACCTTAGAATTTCAAGCTTGACCGTCTGATTCTGATTCTACATAAACTGTATGCCGTGGCCCTACAGACCGATTTCCAAGTAAATGTTGCTCCAACAAAACTAACTAGTAATTTGGATGGTCCAACATGAATTTTGAGTAGCTGTGGAATTAAATATTTCAAACATTCACATACTTATGAAATGCCAATGTTTCAGATATCTGATGGGATATTGTCATATATATGTTTGATCTATAGTCACATCCAGTTTTGTCAATTGCCCTGTTTTATTTGGGTTAACTGTGATAGATCCCATATCCTATTGCTCAACTGGGGACAAACCCCCTGTAGTTATATTGCTGCAGAGAGACCCCTTAGTGAGATTTTTTGACTCTTTACCCTCACAGAAAGAAATTTTCTTTTTGGTAAATAGACCTCCTGAGAAAAGAGTCAGACAAATTCACTAGGGGAGTCCACCCGCAACCGTGCTATAGTACAAGGGGTCTATCTGCAACAATGGAACACCTGGGTCTATCCACAATTGGGCAATAGTTAGGGGGTCTATCCGTAATTAGCCTTTCTTTAGGGTAATGTTGCTCGGGTATCATTTTATTCATGGAAAATTGGAGTTCTCTTCTTGACCTTTTCCAGAACATGTTCTAGACAATCACTGAACTTCCAAATTTTATTATGGTGTATAGGAGAAGGGATTTCAAGATGCAAAACCAGTTGTTACAGCATTGAAAGAGAGAGGTGCTTCTGCAGTTGGAGCTGCAGGATTTTGTTGGGGAGGTAAGGATTCTTTTTCCTTTTGATAACAACATGTTCTCGTAAGTCTTCCTGATCTTATCGTTAATTGTGTTTTCAGGTAAGGTTGTTGCAGAATTAGCAAAGACTGGTGACATTAAAGCTGGAGTGATGTTGCACCCTTCGTTAGTCACTGTAGAAGATATCAAAGGTTTATGTCATATCAATACATCAAATTCTAGTTGAAGATTCTGATGAACTAAGCAACTTTTATGTAAAAAAAAGTGACAAAAAATTTTGGATTATTTTAACCTATTCGCATGATTGTTTTTATTTGTTTCAATTTTTTAGATGCCTGTTAATTACTTGCTTCTTTCCAGAGATCAAATCGCACATTGCTGTACTTGGAGCTGAGGTTGACCACATCTCTCCACCTGAACTGTTAAAACAGTTTGAGGAGATTTTGTCAGCCAAAAAGGAGGTAAAACCATTTATCCTTTTGGGGGGAAGATGTCATGTCTCTAGATCTTATGGTGTTACTATGATTATTGAGTTATCAGCTTCAATGCAATTCCATGTGTCATATTTTCTCCTCTAGACTCACTGTTAGGTTCAGTGAATCATTGGAGGCTTGCTTCTCGCGTGCATAAACATAGACTATTTATTTGGAATCATTGGAGGTTTTTATCCAACGATTCTGGTTATGGAAGCTCGTAACTGTACTTGTTAGTCACATAAGTATGCGCCTTAGAACCTCAATATGACATTGGTTACAACACATTTAAATGCATACTCATAAAACAAGTAATTGCAGTTGAGAAGGCATTGAAATATCATCATCTGAGGNTTTCATCATAAAAAATATAACCATATTATTTTTTCTATAACGTCATGTACTTGGTAAACAAACACAGAAGTATGCATACAGGAAATTGAAAATCAAAGGGTAGAACATTAGGCGTCCATGTTGCAGTTGATTTTCTCTGAGGGTAGTGATGTCAGCGGTATGTTCATTAGTATGACAGCTACTAATTCGCTTTAGATATGAATGTTGTGTTGTAGTGACTGCGCCGGGTACTTTTACGTTCATCAGATACCGATGGGTGATTAATCATTCATAAAATCTACTGATCTTATGAATTGCTCATCATGGTGCTGGTCTATAATGCCTCCTCAAAAGGATGTTATAACACCAAATAGTACTCCAGTGCACGCGATGCACGCATGAAATCAAACGTGGGGGTTGTTGTAGTCGAGTGTCAAATTTGGGTGCATTTTGTGATTTGTTCCAAATGTGAGAGAATTCCCTCTAATTTTGTCAGTGTGACGGAATTTTCGTTGATCTATACAAGTTGTGATTTGGTGGTTTATTCAAGCGTGAGAGCATTCACAACTACTTTTTTAATTGTGAGGATATTTTCGGAATTAAAAGAAAGAGTGGCTCACAAAGACCAAAAAGGAGTTTTTCTTAATATATGGTATAGATTCATCAATGGTAATATTATTATTATTGTTGTTGTTGTTGTTGTTGTTATTATTATTATTTTGGGAGGGAAACTGAAAGAGATCATAAGTTGTCTGCTGCTTGTTTGTTTAGGTTGAGAGCTATGTGAAGATCTTTCCAGGGGTGTCACATGGATGGACTGTACGTTATGATGCGAACGATGAGAATGCTGTGAAGAGGGCAGAAGAAGCTCATCGAGATATGATGGAGTGGTTTGCAAAATATGTCAAGTAGAGCTCCTGGAATCAGGCATCTTTGAAGTAGAAATCTATGATACTCAGAAGTATTAGTTGCATGTGCACGGTGCAGAACTATGATACTAGTGCAGAACTATGATACTATGTTATGAATTTGCATCCTCTTAGGGGGTGTTTGGTTCAATTTCTATAAATTATAAGAAAAGGAAAACACCCAAAATATAGATTTCCTTGTATTTCTATAAAATTTGTAGGAAAAGTTTATAGAAGTCAAAGAGTATCATATTTCTTGTTTTTTGCTATTTCTTTGTTTGGTTCGAAGTATGAAAAAGTTTCTAACTTTATAGAAAATATGTTGTTTTCTTTTTCTTTTGTTTGGTTAGTCTAACAATGCTCAAGAGAAATCACATACGGGAACAGTATTGGTGTACTTAATTAATTTTTTAATATATGCGTCAAATGTCCTGGTGTTTTTGGTGTTTTTCGCCCATTTTTAGTGAAAAATAATTTTTGTATACTTTATAGAAAATTTTTTTGTACATTTAATGTTTAACCAAACATAGTTTATAGAAATCTACAGAAATCTATTATTTACAATAACGTCATTGTCAAGTATTTTCTCAAAACTTTTCCATAAAATAGGTGAGCCAAACACCCCCTTACCTTCTTATTTGACACTCAAGAAATTATTCTTAAATCACATATCATTTATTATATTTGACATGGATATGATTCGCCCTGCACAATGTTCTTCGGTTGCCTTCCTTCACAGCTGCTTGCTTACTTATGGAGCATTCCAACACTTTGAGATCACTGCAATAATACTCTACGGACAAAAGTGCCTACAAATATTCACATATTTAGGAGGCAGTATAGATTACGTATGTAGACCAAATGCTTCATATTTGTCTATGCCAAGTTCGCGTGCATTTACACAATACTCTCCAACATGAGGAAATAGTAACCAAAAAGACTTGAGGGTTCAAAAAATGCTTGCAACCTACATGATTACCCTTCTGAAGGCTACATTGGCTTAAGTACTTGAAAAGTGCAGAAAGTAGAGAGTTACAACGCTGCGATGCTATTTCCTTTCAGGACAAAAAATTTGCATCGGACGATGAGCAACCCCAACTAGATTGCCATATGAAGAGATAAGATGCTTGTTCGTGAGTACATCAATTTAGATGCTCAAATGAGACAAATCTTTCAAATAAAAAACTGAACATATTCCTTAATGAAACCCACCCAACCTCATATTCAGGTTTTTCCAGCAGTATGTTTCACATCACATCTTAAAATAAATTCCTTTTCCATGAAAGAAGAAAAACTAGCGATGAGAATAATGAAACTGAAGTATCACCAAGTGCACAGTTTCTTCAACTTGACATATGTCAGTAATCTGGATCAAGTAATTTTCAAGCAATACAGCAGTTTGTAAGGCAACCAAAAGAGTCTAGGCAACTAAAAACATAACAAATCAACCACCGCGTGCTTCTCTTCTGGTGGCATCATGAAGTATGTCAATATCAACTCCATCAGGTGGAAGCTGAACATACCTGACAACAGATCCCCTGATGAAACAGTTTCTAACGGACAACTGCACAACAAGAAAATTTATGTTAGCAAGTGCATTGATGGAAGAGTGAAAATTTAATTAAAAAACTCCTTACATAAAAAACTTTCTTTTTCCTGGAGTACAAATATGAAAGAAGCCCAGGCCAAAACCAAATACATTTCTAAGTGATTGCAGAACAAGGAGTTTAAGTTTGAAATATGGAATCAGCAAAACGTACACAACCTTAAGTCAAAAATAACATAAAAGGGAAATGGGGAAGTTAGATGTTAGATGATCTAACATACGGTTTAAAAACATATATAACAACAACAACACAGCTTTAATCCCAAATTTTTCGGGTCCATTACGTGAATCCTAATCTTCCATTCAATTCTATTAAGAAGTTGTGTTACCATGTTCATAGCTTTGCACAAACTATTTGAGATCTGCATCTAATACAGACCAACTAACAATATTGAAGTTTCCCCTCCTTCAGTCTACATCTTGCCTCCGAACATATCTAAACGACACAACCAATTTTTTCATTCTAGAATCAATAGAATAGTAGGAGAAAGGAAAAAATATAAAAGTAAAAGCACAAAGCAGAGTGAGATACTGAAAACACGATGATAAAGCAAGCTGAGATTCACCGGATCTCCAATTTATAACTACTGACAAGCCATCTACCTTTGTTTCAATCCCCATTTTCTCTCCTTTTCCCTGCCCCTCTCCTCGTTCAAATATAAAACTCCCAGCTTTTCTCTGCTATAATTCTCCATCTCCT